TCCAGTTATTGGTAATCTGAGGTGTTAAAAGTTCACTGAAGCAGTTTTTTTAAGATAGTTAATTTGACCAGGTTTTCCCTTACATAAACATGTCTGTAAACACATCAACAGGCGAAGACCATTCACAGGGTGATCATCCAGATGCTGAACTAAGCGGGACTGCAGGTACTATTAATTTTTAGGGGCAATAGTTCTGGATTGAGCATGTTAACTGTGAAGCATGCTGGGAGTTTGTCACAGGCTCAGTAAAATGCTGTGGTGTTGTTGGTCGAGAAAGTTAATTACGGTGTAGTGATTTAAAACTTTCGTGATGGGCAACCACCTCAAACATATCAAATACAACTCAAAGATCTGAGCTGTTTGTGGTTATAGCTGTTTGTTGATTGTGAACATGCAAAAAAATTGCTTTTTTGTTCTCCACACTGCAAAACAACTTGACAGAGGTAATAAAACAGATGATTTAAAAAATGAAAACGTAGAGGTGAAACTCTAGAGTCAGTGTAGCCTTCTACACAGATGTTTATTTGTCTCGTCACACATTGCATTTGTTAGAGGATAGATTGTGTGATGAGCCCAAAGAGCATCTACGTCACCCAGGCTAGAGTCAGTGTGACGTCAGTATTTTTTTTTTTTTCGTGTTGATTTTTATTGTACAACACAACATTGCATTCTGTGATGTCAGTATTTTTGTTGATGTCATGATACATGTAGAAGCAAGCCTAGTATTGTATGAGTGTACAGATGCTACTGTTTGAAAGAAATTTTCAAAGGAAGATGGAAGAAGATTATAGTAATTAATAGTGATACATGAGGAGTGCATTGTGAAGGGTAACAAGATCAGTTAATTTAAGGATCTCTAATTCCTTAAAAGAGGCTCAGAGTGTTCATCTGGTTTTGAAAAAGTTAAAGTACGTATAGCTCTCTTTTGAAGAGTTATTAAGGGTTTAAGAGTACTATAAGTATTGCCCCAAGTTGATAAACCATAGGTGAGGAAGGGGTAGATAATTGAATAATATAATTGATGTAATATGTTTCTATTTAC